CTATATCATGTGAAAATCAAGTAGTAACTAAAAGGATAAATGAGCTGAATATAAAATATTTTGGCAGGTATTGTAAATGGTGACCCATTCAATTGCAACAAAGTTTAGTATGTGGAATATACTCCAGATCATTTAAACCTAAACATAAAATCTGAATGTATAGCAGACAAACACTACTTACCCTGGACAGACTACGAATTTACTCAGGGTTAGTACTAGAATGTCACGAGGCTTTGGCCGAAGTATCCATCAACAATGTGGTCGACTTAAGATGGATCAAAGGTCACACCACATCGAAATTCAACTGTCTTACTGATTCACTAGCCAAGAACACAACCAACCAAATACTTTTTGGACCTGGAATTCTATTGACCTGACAAAGTCGGTAATGACAGACCTAATTAAAGAACATTCCCTTGTGAAATTCAAAGAAAGATGGGATGAAACAAGAAGCTGCCAGGGAACTACAGCAAACAATTACTTGACTATGACTAGACAGAATCTGCGCCTGATCACAGGCATTCAGACTGCTCATTGCCAAGTACGGATGCATCTCCATTGTATGGGGCTGTCAAGAAGATGAGACCATCCAGCATATCCTCTATGATTGCCCGACGCTCTCATTTAGTAGAAGATTACCGGCGAGTACTGGTTAACACCGGCCGATATAAGAGAAGCACCTCCTGACTACATTAAATCTGTAGGATGGATCACGAGCTAGGAGATTTTTATCAATTTAGGAGGATGTACAGTGGGCCAAGTAAGGTATAAGTGCCGTGGGGTAGCCCACACTCCACACGTTACAGATACATGAGATAGAAAATGTTAAACTTAAAAAACAAAAACGAGCTTCCTCGTATTTTATCGAATATCTCTATCTAGAACTTGTATAGACCATTATATTACCTTACCTGTCAAAATATGAAACTTTTTCACCATTTAACCGACATTGTATAACTTGCGGTTTACGAGAACTGTATATTTACCTTCAAGCATATATATTTCATAGAGTCCGCATTCAACAGCATTTGTTTGGGTTGTGAGGGGGAAATGCTGGACACTAAAACCAAAGTCGCATCATTTTTACGGGGTTTGCAATTAATATAAATAACAAATTCTTTAAATTAGTGACATATTTTATAAACTTTAATTATTTAAGTAGGTATCCAGTAATAGTATATTATTATTATTAATAATAATATTATTATTATTAATAATAATTTTATTATTATTTGTGTTAGACACATCAGATTTATGAAATAATAGGCAATAAAAAAGATAAAAAGCTTATATTTAAAAATCAAAAGTATAAATAAATAGTAGGTAAATTATACAAATATTTATGATATATATTAACACACGTGTACGAGAATTACAATACAAGAATTTTTTCCAATAATTTATTAAATATAAAAATATTGTTCGTAAACAATTTTCAGTAGATTACTAAACGATGTGCTACAAATAGAAATCAAGCTAATACTTAGGTACTTAAAAACGAAAAGCTTGTTTATATTGAAAAATTATGATTAATTTTTTAAACTTTTCAGTAGGGTCCAAAATCTAAAACAATATTTCTCATACACAATACAAGTTCTTTAAATTTAATTTACTAAATTTATCATTTATTTTAAATTCATGTTTTTTGCATAAAATGATTTTTTCTTTTAAAAAAATGGTAGAGACGCTAATGGTTACTAACTTGTGAAATGACCTTGATGATGCCTTTTCATATTTCTATTTACAACTTACACAAACTCTCACTATTGTTAAAATTTGTATCAGTAAAGTAATAAAATACAAAAAATCACTTATAAACTACAAAAATAAGCTAGTAATTAATGAAAATCAAAAATCAAATGACAGTTCTAACAATTTTGAACGATTTGACATGCCAAGCAAAACGAAACAGACCAATGGGAATGCTGGACACTATTTTTCCCCCCTGTACCAAAACAAAGTCCATTTGGACGATGGCTCTAGTAATATATGCTCGAAGATATTTACACAAATTAAATATAGTCCACCCTGTATACAACCAGAAAAGGAGAAAAGGAAATCTTTCGTTGAGCCTCCGTTGAGACTGTTTTGAGCCTACCTCAAGTAAAACTGGACTCATTTTGTTGTCTCACTGTTGCCTCGCTGTTGTCTCGTTGTTGACTCGTTGCTGACTCGTTGCTGACTCGTTGTTGGCTCGGCTCATACGCGGCTCGTAATATTTATAGGGACCCTAAGATTGCATGAAAATCAGGCAAAATTGTCGGAAAAACGCTCTGTAAGTGTGTGACATTTTCATTCAATTTAGACGCATCTGTATGAGTTCTAAGTTCTTTCCCCTTCGTGTCCAGGAACATAGGTTGTGTGACAGGAATGTATAGTGAAACGCGACGCCCCTGGGTCTGATATTTTTTTATTCTTTTCTTTAAATAGTTTGTTGCGTTGTTCGAGGATATATCAATCACTTTCTATTTGGCACGTCTTTTGTTCATCGAGTGTAAATTGTTAGAGGGCAAATTCTAACTCAGAGGGCGGTCCGGGAGCCGTATATTGTTCGGGCTGTTTTTCGGAGTATTATGTTACGTGAAAGTTGAGTAGGCCCGCTACTCAACCTTTCTCTGTCTTATGCATTGACTAAATGGGAAAATTAAAGTATAAATACGGAGTCGGAAAGTAAGAACGGGGTTAGAATTCTTCCTGCCTTTCTCACGTCCAGTTGACAAAAAAAGTGTAAGATTCAGTTATCTATAAGGTGACTCCCTTCTATATACTCTTCAAGTATATTGATTGGTTTATCGCGTTTAACTATAAGGTGACAGCTTTTTTTGTTATATTTGGAAAACGCAGTAAAAGATATCGAGGGAGCAGATAAATTATTTTCTGTATGAAACGACTTCTGTTGCGCTATACACCGTTACCTTTAAGGTGACTTCTTTCGTTATACATTTGTATATCGAGAGGTAGTTATGTGTTACCTATCAGGTGACCAAACAGACGGACGTTTTAAAAGAGCTTAATTTTTCTCTCTTCTAAGGGTTTTATGGGATTGTATTTCCGAGTTATTGGATTCTTTGCGTGACTTGTCTTGGTGAACCGTTGCCTATGGCGACGACGCCGGATAAAGAAATAGCGAGTTATTTAGTACCTCTGATCCAATCGTATAAAACTTGTGGAAAACGACTAAAAGTATTGCGATTGTCGTTCTACTTTTGTCGACGATACCTTTTTCTTTGTTGTGTGGATCCCCGTACGTAGATTTTAGCGATAATTGATCTTCTTTTAGACGTTACGATTATCGGTTTTTATCGCGGAAACGCCGTTCTAGAATATATTTCGAGATCAGCGTTTTCGACCTAGTGTCCTTTGTATAGTATTCATGTATACAGCCGGGGGAGAGCAGGTATTGCAGCGTGGTTTTATTACAGGTATCATTTTGTAATTAGTTATGTGTTTAAAAGGGGAACAATTCTTATTTGGGTAAAATTTAGTAAATAGTAATTATTAAGTTATGTGGGTAGTTTTTTTTTGCATTTCATTGTCAGTCAATTTCATTTCATAGGACAATAATTAATAATTAGAATTACGGTCATAAAAATCAATTATTTTAAATCCAGCCACAACAACTAATAAACTAAGCCCTTCTGATTTATGATCATAAGAATCAAGTGTCAAAGCCCTTTATTATTTTAGGGTTTGGGAAACCAATAACCTGCTTTCGTGGCTATAAATTGTCGTCTTTTGCGTTCATTTAGATGGTAGACAGATGTTTGAATTGTATTATATTTATTTGTCGAGTCCTATTGTTAAGTAAAGTACGGTAATAATATTTTCTTTCATTTTGTATGATGCAAAAGTAGGTAAAGTCATGTCTTACTTCTAAACGTTGAAAATTTACTTTTTTTGGGTTCTTTTTAAGATTGAATATGTACAGAGGCGGGTAACAATATAATTTTTGGTATTATGTTGGGGTAAACGGACATATTAGGCTCATCTGGGCATCACTTTATCACATATGTTATAGAACTCCGGTATAATTGTTATCCTTTTAGAAAAATGAGGTGAGATTGAGGTGGGACTACAGCTTGTGGTTTCGGAGCTGTCATTTATAGCATTAATTTGTCGGTAATTAGAGCAAAAGAGCCTTGCGCCGAAAAAGAGCCTTCAGCCACCCATAGTACGTGCAGAACCTCAATAGTAGGGCCTAAAAATGGTACATTTTCTCACGTCTGTGGAAATAAAAGCCTGATAGAGGCTAGGATGGATCTTAAGAAAAGATACCCCAAAAGTGGGCCTAACGGGCATCCCCCTTTATATCAGGTGTTCTGTTGTCGTACAGGTTATTGTTATATATGCAGTACTGAGCACAATCGTAAAATACGGTATTGAGATATCAGTGGAAAGGTGTTACGCAAGATGAGGTTAAACTTCTTATTTACATAATTATATCCATATTCATATCGCGCCATACTCTTCGTGATACCGCTGAACTTCACTATATCAGACAATACGTATGCAGGGATTATATTAGTAGTGTGTATGATTGTGTATTATAAAGGGATAACAAATATGCTGTAGTACTGTCATCATACTTTCACCGGTTTATGGGAGCTTAATATTCCTTCGGTTAGAAGTGAGACATGGAAAAGGCCACACATGTGTTATGTTAAAATAGACAAACATTATTGTCAACTTCCCGCTATAAGAAATAAGTTTAAATAAAACTATTCTTAATCTATTTTTGTGTTTGTTTTTTTGTTCCTCCATTACAGCTACATTGAACTCTAAGCGAAATTTTGGGGTCCTACAAAAATCACTTCGTGGGTATCTACTAGACGAAATTTAGGCCAAGGTTATAAGTATTTGTAAAACTAAGTTAGGACCCGGTTTGTCAGGTTACAATATTATAGGCTACATTGTATTCAAAAAGGACGCAAATCTGTAATAAATCCAATTAAAATCCATCATTTATTATCAAGGCAAAAAGTTGATTACTCTGCTATCCCCCATAATATATGCTTATCTGCGGTGTTAACGATAGGACAAGCGACACAAGTAAATACTCATTTTAAAATTCATGTTTTGCCATTCATGCTGTAGCTACTGAGCCGATCGAAGGTGAAATACAGTTAGTTAACCATTGTTTATTTATTATTGTTATTGTTGTTGTCGGTGAGTTTTTAATTTTAATAAATAAAAGTGTTACCCTCGTGAATTTTCATTGTAGTGTATTGGTCTGTTAAATATTGTATGTTTTATAATTTTAACAAGAGATTTACATATTTCTGCAAGTACCAATTTTTCGAATTGTATGGGTATTTGTATTTTTAGGTTATTAAACCGTGAGAAAATTCAAGTATTTTAATTTTGCTCTAGAATTTGTAATTGTATTTTTTTTTAAACTACTTACCCACTTAAATGATTATTTTTATTGATTTATTGAATCAGTTTAAAGAAGTAGATACACATGTTCAATAAGTTTTATTTGTTTATCCCTTTGATACCAAAATTAAACATTCATTTATAAGATAAATTATGGAGCATTTATTCAATATAAAATTATTAGAATGGTAAATATTTCATTTTCAATAAAAACATAACGTTGAATATTCCACATTTTTTACTTTAAATTAAAAGTAAAAATGTTTTTTTAGATTTATTATTTTTTCATAGACCGTATTTTATTTTTAATGAGTAATTTGTGGGAGAGAAAAAGTCATAATAACAGGTCTTTAATAATTTTAATATTTGGTGAAAATCCTGAATGAGTACGAATTTTAACTATCCCTCTAAAAATGTTTAAATAAAATGAAGCAGCATATAATACCTTATTTTTAATTCACTATTTGGAAATATCGGGATTTTTCATTTATCCAATTTTTTAAGACATTTAGTAACACCTTGAAAAGTATCGGAAAATCAGATCGATCGCTTGATTCCTATTTGTTTTAACTTGACGTTTATAAATTAATATTTGTCGTGTCTTTGGGAAATGGATTATAATATAAATAGATATAGTGCGGAATTTAATGATTTTTAGTTTCAAATTCTAATTATTCACTTTAATCGATATTCGTTATTTAGATTTTATTAGATTAACTTTTTTATTTAAACCGTGTAACGATATCAGAGTTAAGAACTGACTAGTACTGGAGGGAACATAGGAATTATTAAATATATTCTAGAGTTCTAAGGTTCTAGCGTTCTGGCGTTCTACCTGTTGTAATGACTTAAATTCTTCTCTTAGTTTTATTTTAAATTTAATGGATATTAATTTTTTTTAAATTAGTTGTCTAAATAATCTTAAATCTCTTTTACTAAGTAATGAAGATAATTAAAAAATGCCACTTTAATATTAGTTGAAGTAAATTTAGTTTTCCAATAAATACATTTTTTTTATTGTAATTTTTATCAATGTTTCTTTTTTGTTTTTTAGATAAGAAGTAACACATTAGTATGGATTTGGTAAAAAATGTTATTCCAAATTTGCAAATCGAGATTAAAGAAGATGAGATTCAAAATGGTGCTCTTGAAATTTTAAAAGTAATTAGGCCTAATTGGAATGAAAAATTAATAACATTTAAGGTATTTATTATTTTATTTAGATTAGTAGTGTACACTGGCGTAGCCTGCCATTTTTCATGGGAGGGGTTTTTGAGAACTATGGAGGGGTTCCGTTAAGAAAGTGAATAAAAACAGTCAATAGCGAGGACTCTCCATGGAGGGTTCTGGTCCCCAAAACCCCCCGTGGCTACGTCACTGGTAGTGTATTATTATTTCTGTACTATTGTACATTATGTAAAATAACAAAACATGTAAACATTTAGACAGTAATTATATTTTCTAAAAACGTAATTACTTAACATATTAATTGATTATGCATAATTTCTTTAGAATATTAATGAAGGATTTTAATATTTTTACATATGCAGCAGTAGCGTTAATCACAGGGTAAAAATTGTGTCAGCTTCTTGTTTATAAACCGCATAAACATTTTAGACTTAGAAATTAGAAAAGGAAAACAAGAACAAAACACAGTGCGTCCGTAAAGTAACGCATAAATTCATTATTAGCTAAATACACAATTTTTTATTTTGATTTACTGCTTTTTAAAATATTAATCATATAGGGGTGGGTGGCTCAGTGGTTAGAGCCTCTGCATGTGGATCCAAGGGTCCCAGGTTCGAATCCCACCGTTGGCCGGAATTTTTTCATTTAATTTAATTATTTAAAATTAATTCTGATGCCTTGGTAGGATTCCCCACTCGACCATTCACTGTTGGGTTCTAATTAACAGTGCTGTTCCTAAAGTGGCGATGGGAAACAGTAACAAAGTATACACAGAACACGAGGCGAAATAACCTTAGCAGTTGAAGCCGATGACACACCTAAAAAAAAAAATCTTATATATAGGGTGAAGTCCCTTCGTGTGATGATGTCACCATCTTTCTAAATTGAACACTTATTTTTTTCGAATTTCTGGATTTCCATTGCTGTGCTGATTCCAAAAATGTATCACATGTTGCTTTAAATATGTACAGAGAGGACAAAAATACAAAAAGTACAAGTTACTTGTAAAATAAGAAATGAACAATAAACGAAATAAATAAATTAAATAAAATTACGTATTACAACGTATACAAATAGTTTGAAAAGCACACCGTATATGTTTAACATTTTATCTCGCAACCTGTTTTTTTTAATACCTTTAACTAAAAATCTGATGTGTCCAACACGTGATTTTCCTGTCTAGTTATACCAGGTTTTTTCCGGTTATTTTGTGCCTGTTGTCTCACCCTTGTAAATGTTTAGAGGATGACTAAATAAATACATTTTCCACACACATATTACTCGAAATTACTAAAAAAATAAAATTTTATATGAATAAGGATAATTTCCTGACCGTAGTAGAATTTTATATAAATAAAATTTTCCATGGTTTAATCAGTCATTGTTTTTATTTTCAATCGTTTAGCACTACATACGAGGCTGGGCTGAGAAATAATCGGCCTCGGCAAGAGTTGGCGCCGCTAGGAACAAATGAAATTGTTTTTCGTAAAAACTATCTTTCAAATGACTTCTGTCAAATTTTCAGCGAGCTGCGTCACTTAGTTTGTACTTGACAGTGTTTGAAGGCAAACAGATTTTGCATTTTTATAAAAATGAATAAAATCGAATATCGCGCAGTGATAAGATTCTTGTTTTTAAAAAAGAAAACTAACGATGAGATCAAAATCGAACTGGATGATGTGTATGGGGACTCTGCACCTTCGTTATCAACAATTCAATATTGGACTGCCGAATTTAAACGCGGTCGTACGATAATTTTTGATGATGAACGTCCAGGCCATCCAAGTGAGGTCACCACACCAGAAGTGGTCGATAAAATCCATGATATGCTAATTGACGATCGACGGGTAAGAGTGTGTGAGATTGCTGAGGCTGTGGGAATCTTACGTGAACGAGTGGATAATATATTGCACGAATATTTGGAAATGACGAAGCTCGCTGCCAGATGGGTGTCGCGTTTGCTCAATGCCGACAACAAGCGAAACTGTGTGACAACTTCAAAGGAGTGTTTGGCAATATTTAACCACAATAAGAAGGACGTTTTGCGCCGTTTTGTAACCGTGGATGAAACATGGATTCATCACAATACGCCAGAGACGAAGAAACAGTCAAAGCAGTGGGTCTGCCAAGAAGGTCATGGCCACAGTTTTTTGGGTTGCGCACGGTATTATTCATATCGATTACCTTGAAAAGGGCAAAACCATCACCGGCGATTATTACTCAAAGCTGTTGGACCGATTCGACGACGATTTGAAGCAAAAACGACCGCATTTAGCGAAGAAGAAAGTACTCTTCCACCAGGACAACGCACCGGCGTACAAATGTGCAGTCGCAATGGCATAACTGTATGAATTGCGTTAAGAATTGGTTCCTCATCCGCTATACTCCCCAAATTTGGCGCCTAGCGACTACTATCTGTTTCCAGACTTGAAAAAATGGCTCGGAGGTAAGAGATTTGAGTCGCGCCAGAGGTCTATTTTAAGGACTTGGAGAAATTGGAGAAATTGGAGAATCGTTGGACAAAGTGTATAGAGCTTAAAGGAGACTATGTTGAGAAATGAATTGAGTTTTGCCAAAAAAAGTTGTATTTTCTTACCTAGGCCGATTATTTTTCAGCCCAGCCTCGTATGTTTCGAAAATTAATATTTTTCCATCTTCGGGTGCAGTCAAAATTTAAAAATAAAAAAAAGGGGACGATTACAAACAGTTTGAAAATTTTTAAAATAACAGAACCCCATCTTTCTCTTTCGGCGTGTGAAGGTGTATTCAAAATAATATTGATTTGGTTTAACACAATAATGACAAAGTAGGGAAACAAAAAGATGAGTTTTTACAGAGTTAAACATTTTATTATTTACAGGTTTGTTATTTTTTTTAATATGTATCATCTCAAGGATTATTCTTTTGTTGAGATTGGGTTAATTTTCGAGAATTCTACATTTTCAAAAGAGTGCAAATTTTCTAACGCATGTTTAGTTAGGGCAGTGGAATTTTCATTATTAGTTGCGATATTATTTTTATGGTTTTTTATTCTTTTATGTAGATATTGTTTTGTTTGTCCAATGTAAGTGGAATTACAGTCTTTGAAGTCAATTTTATAGACAACGTTTGGTTGATTTATTTTACTAGTTTTGGGCTTAAAATTCGAAAATAACGTTTTAGTTGTATTGTTAGGTTTATGATCAATTTTTATATTATATTTAGGAAACATTTTAGACACTTGTTTAGAAAATCCTTTTACATATGGCATATGTAGTGCTAAACGATTGAAAATAAAAACAATGACCGATTAAACCAAGGAAATTTTTATTTATATAAAATTTTATACTTTTCCTCAAATTTTTCCATTGCGGTTCATTTTAGAGGAATCATGTATGGAACAAAAATTGTAGAGATCGATATCGCAAACAACTTTCAGTTAAACAAATTTTTCGATGTTCCGACTATACCCAAAATCTAATCAGCTCACCGCAAGCCCGAAATGAAAATTTGGTGGTTTTCTCTTTATCTGTTTATGAGTTATCGAGTATACAAACATCATCGCGAAAATTGTCAAAATGGATTCAGGTGACCGCAAAAGGTAAAAATCCGTCAAAAACTCGAGGTCGAAAAATCTGTATACAGACAGGAAAGTAAAAATGAGAGGATTGAAATATTAATGACGATTGATGTTGACGATAGGATGTGAACTCAACAAGAGGTATGCAGATTATTTCGGAAATGCACCCAGATCGTAAATCTATTTCATAATCTAATGTAAGCAGAATAGAGCTAAAGTAGAGAGAATTAGGACATGTGAGTGATGCACTAATGGAAGGTAGACCTACAATTAATGAAAATATGCATTTTCTAGACCGACATGGGCGCAAAAAACTGTCGGTGCGCATGACAATTTGGACGCCAGAGTGTCAATTTCAAGCATTTTACGTCACGTTTCACACGGGCGTACTACGATAAGTTATATTATTTTTTTATTAATAACGCGCTATTTTAATAATTATTATTGTTAGAACATTTGTTTCAGCTGCGTATTAATCAAATATCATTTTTAAGTGATTTGCTTAAATTAAAAGGTGTCGTAGTTGAATGTAATAAGTGTTCAATTTAATTTTGATGATCCTTTTTAGTTCATTACGATACGCACATGTGGGCGCCAAAGTGTCAAATATCACCTCGCTATGCGGCTTGATTTTGTTGATCAGCTTTGTTCTTCCAGTTTAATATATAGTTCAGTGGGGAGCATCAGTCTCGTTATTTTATAGTCACACCTCGTACATTAATTCCTGATTTGACCCAGTTTTTCTGATATTCAAATAGCCATTAATTAGACTACAGAATCTGGTTTTAACAGGATGTTGCACCGCTACATTACCTCGAGCTGTGCGCGAGTTTTTAGACAGAACTTTTCCATATTGGTGGATAAAAAGAAGGGAAACAGTGGAATGGTTCGCTAGATTACCTCATCTGAGCCCATTAGATTTCTTTTCATGGGATTATTTTAAATCCATGTTAACAGACCTCAAAATGTATGTGAGGTAAAAGACTAAATCAGGCAAGAAATGTAGAACATAACGCGTTATGCTACAAAACTTTAGAGATGAATCTAATGCCCGGTTTAGTCATTGTACATCAGTCAATGGAGAAAAAATTTAACATTTATTGTAAATTTTCTTTTGTTTGTTTTTGGTAGTATATACCAGCAATTGCAAAACTATGTAATTTCATTTAATTTGTTTATTAGGTTAATGGTTCTTATTTTTTGCAATTCTTGTATTTTTGCCCACCCTGTACCAATTTAAAGCAACGTGTGATACATTTTTGAAATAATCTCATCAAGGGAATTCTGAAAATTAAAAAAAACATGTTATTAAACAAAAATAGTAATGACGTCTTCACACGAAGGTAGTTCACCTTGTATATATATTAAATTATTATTTTATAAAAAAATTAAAATCAAAACTCGACCTGTTTCGGGACTTCTTAATAGAATTGTTTATTTAGTTAATAATAAATGT